GGGGACTTGAATATCGACTACTTTCTAGTTTTTGCTTCAATTGTTTATTTCGTCAAGTCTAACGTTACTTGATTGTTGCTCTGGTCTTAGGAACTTTGATTGAATGCATATGTTCAGAAGCTAGGGCAGACTTCAAGGATTTGACCCCGAACCTGAGAGAACATTTCATAGGAGGTTGAGGGAAGCAAGGGATACAAATAATCATCAGGCACTCGTTCAATTTCCTGTGAACATGGCAGAGGAGAAACACATGGCTGTTCAGGAGGTGGCGATGCCCAGCATTGCTAATGTCACCTCCAGCATCGTGAAGCCCAGAATCACCGGGCACTTTGAGCTGAAACATAGCATGATCCAGCTACTTCACGCGAATGGGCAGTTTATGGGTCTTCCACATGAGGATCCACAACAGCATATCCTGAACTTCTTGGAGGTTAGTGATATTTATATCACTAATGGGGTCACTCCAAACTATGTGAGTCTCACACTTTTTCCTTTCTCTCTGTTGGGCGAAGCAAAGTGATGGCTAAAGGCAGAACCAGCTAATTCTATTACATCATGGAATGATTTGGCAAGGAAATTTTTGACAAGGTTCTTCCCTTCAGGCAAAACTACAAAGATCAGAAGTGAGATAGTCGCCTTCAAACAGAAAGCGGGGGAGTCTCTATACTCAGCTTGGGAGAGGTTCAAGGGGCTGCTCAGAGACTGTCCTCATCACAATAAGACAAACGAAGTGTTAGCTCACACTTTCATAGAAGGGCTACATCCTGAAACAAAAATTGTGGTAGATGCTGCAGCTGGAGTTCAAGTGTTAGAGAAACACTTTGACGAGCTATATGCATTATTGAACAAATTCTCCAAAAGCAATCCGGATTGGAAAGGAGAAATGGGCAAACACACAGTGCAAAGGTCTGCAGGGGTTCTCGAGTTAGATGTCGTCTTTGCATTATCAGCGCAAATTTCTACAATGACCAACCAAGTCAATCAGATGACCTTGGTTATTAACAAGCAGCAAGCTCAACCAGTGCAACTAGTTCAAGTGTTTTGTGAAGTATGTGGAGAGGGTCACACGAGTGATTTATGCCCAGTTAATCTAGAGTCTGTTTGCTTTGTGGGTAACGCAAATAGGGGCCAGACGAACCAATATGGGAACACTTACAATCCCAACTGGAGGAACCACCCAAACTTCTCTTGGGGTGGAAATCAAGGTGCTCAAAATCAATACCGACCACAAGCACCTCAACAACAATATAGACCACCTCAGATTGAACAACAGGCAATCTCAACAAGTCATATTGAGGAAATGATGAAGAAATTGATGGTTGACCAGCAAGCCCACACCGCAGAGCTGATAAAGAAAGTGATGGTTGACCAGCAGGCCCAAGCCACAGCAATGAGAAATTTGGAGCGCCAAGTGGGACAATTGGCCAGTGCCCAAAATATTAGACCAGTTGGAGCTCTTCCAAGTGACACTGAAGCTAATCCTAAGGCATCTGTTAATGTCGTGTCATTGAGGAATGGGAGACAATTAGAAGAAGTCCAGTGGAAAAAGAGAAAACATGTGACTTTTAATGAGAGGCCAGCCACTATAGAATCAAAATCAGAAAAATAAAAGGAGTCAGAGAAGCCAACTGAAGAGGCGGTGGCTGAGCAACCCCCACCATTGGTTGCGAGGCCACCACCTCCGTTTCCACAAAGACTGCAGAAAGTGAAGGATAATGCCGCGTATAAAAAGTTTCTTGATATTTTGAAACAAGTGCAAATTAATATTCCATTGGTAGACATCTTGCAAGAAGTTCCCAAATATGAAAAATACATCAAGGACATAGTGGAAAATAAAAGGAGGCTGACCGAGTTCGAAACTGTGGCACTCACGGAGGAATGTAGCTCAAGAATTCAAAGCAAGCTACCTCAGAAATTGAAGGATCTGGGTAGTTTCACTATCCAAATCTCGATTGGTAAGCATGCAGTCGTGCGAGCCTTATGTGATCTTGGAGCGAGCATCAATTTGATGCCGCTATCTGTGTTCAGATAGTTGGGGTTGGGTGAACCACGCCCAACAACGGTAATCTTATAGTTGGTTGATCGCTCCCTTTCTCATCCTGAAGGAGTAATTAAAGATGTGTTAGTTCAAGTGGGTTCTTTCATATTCCCTGTTGATTTCATTATCTTGAACTACGAGCTTGATTAGGAAGTCCCATTTATTTTTGGGCGTCCATTTTTAGCCACGGGCCAAGCTATTATAGATGTTTGTGAAGGAAAGATGATGATGAGAGTAGGTGATCGAGTGGAGGTATTCAATGTATATAAAGCACTCAGATTACCAGCTCACTATGAAGAGTTATCCATGATTTATGTGATGGAAGGTGATGCTACATCATTAATGCCTTATATGAGCCCTATAGATCCTCTTGAACGAGCTTTGATTGGGGATGAAAAAGACATCGAAGATGAAATGATGGGAGAAATTAAGCAAGTACTTGATATGTCCTGCAATTATGTCCATGGGTTTTGAAAATTTGAGGAGTTGGGCAGGCCTGTCACTCTGACCCCTCATAAGCCATCTATTGAAGAAGCTCCAAAGCTAGAACTTAAGCCACTACTAGTGTATCTGCGCTATGCTTATTTGGGAAACTCTGTGACATTGCCCATGATTATCTCATCCAGCTTGACTAACACACAAGAAGAAAAATTGCTCAGAGTACTTCGCGAGCATAAAAAGGCTATTGGGTGGACAATTGCTGACATCAAGGGAATCAGTCCATCGTTTTGCATGCATAAAATCTTCTTGGAAGATAGACACCACCCTAGTGTTGAGCAGCAAAGGAGGTTAAATCCCATTATGAAGGAGGTCGTGAAGAAGGAAGTAATTAAGTTGCTCGATGCAGGTATCATCTTTCCTATTTTTGACAGCAACTGGGTAAGCCCAGTTCAATGTGTGCCCAAAAAGGGGGGATGATTGTGATTGCGAATAAGAAAAATGAGCTAATTCCTACTCGTACTGTGACGGGGTGGAGAGTCTGCATCGATTATAGAAGGCTCAACAAAGCAACCCGTAAGGACCACTTTCCACTTCCATTCATTGACCAAATGTTGGACAGATTAGCGAGTATTAATATTATTGCTTCCTTGATGGTTATTCAGGATACAATCAGATTTTCATATGCCCAGAGGATCAGGAGAAGACCACTTTTACTTGTCCTTATGGCACTTTCGCCTTCAAGCGAATGCCGTTTGGTCTTTGTAATGCACCAGCTACTTTCCAGAGATGCATGATGGCTATTTTCACAGATATGGTGGAAAAGTTTGTGGAAGTTTTTATGGATGATTTTTCAGTCTTTGGGTCTTCGTATGATGATTGTTTGAAGAATTTGAGCAAGGTGTTGGCCCGTTGTGAAAAAACAAATCTGGTATTGAATTGGGAAAATGCCATTTTATGGTGCAGGAAGGCATCGTATTGGGTCACAGAGTGTCTAGGAGCGGCATTGAAGTTTATAATGCGAAGGTGGAGGCAGTTGAAAAATTACCTCCACCTATTTCTGTGAAGGGTGTCCGGAGTTTCTTGGGACACGCGGGATTCTATCGACACTTTATTAAAGACTTTTCTAAAATTGCTACTCCTTTGTGTAGGTTGCTTGAAAAAGATGTATCTTTCAATTTTGATGACGCCTGCCTCAAGGCATTTGAAGAACTCAAAAAGAAGTTTGTGGCTGCTCCCATTATTGTGGCACCAGATTGGTCCTTACCATTTGAACTTATGTGTGATGCGAGTGACCATTCTATTAGGGCAGTGCTAGGCCAGAGAAAAGACAGGGTGTTTTATTCCATTTACTATGTGAGTAAGACTCTTGATGATGCACAACTGAATTACACCACCACTAAAAAGGAGTTGTTAGCCGTTGTGTGGGCCTTTGGGAAATTTCGGGCATACTTGGTGGGAACAAAAGTCATAGTCCATACCGATCATGCAGCAATCAGGTATTTATTTACAAAAAAAAGAATCTAAGGCTAGATTGATGCGCTGGGTTTTGTTGTTGCAGGAATTTGATATAGAAATACGAGATCAAAAGGGCACAGAGAACCAAGTAGTTGACCATCGATCAAGGCTAGAAAATCACGACCACGTGGAGGAGGGTGGCCAAATTAAAGAAGTATTTCCTGATGAGCATCTTTTTGCTATCACCCAGGACCCTCCCCCATGGTACGCAGACTATGTGAATTATCTTGTGAGTGGGGTACTTCCTCCTGAAATTGAATCTGAAGCTAGAAAGAGATTTCTACATGATGTGAACTTCTACTATTGGGATGAGCCATATTTGTACAAGCAATGTGTTGATCAGTTGGTGAGGAGATGCATTCCAGAAAAGGAGGTAGAATTAGTGTTTTATGATTGGCATGCATCACCTTATGGGGGCCATCACGGAGGAGATAGAACAGTTGCAAAGGTATTACAATCCGGTTTCTTTTGGCCAACTTTATTCAAGAATGCCCATGCATTTGTTAAGAAGTGTGACCAGTGTCAGAGAATAGGAACAATCACTATGAGGCATGAGATGCCTTTGAATAACATCCTGGAGGTTGAGATTTTTGATGTATGGCGGATAAATTTTATGGGACCAATCCAATTGTCCAGGGGAAATAAATACATTTTGCTAGCAGTTGACTACGTGTCAAAATGGGTAGAGGTGATCGCATTGCCAACAAATGATGCCATGGTGGTAGCTGCGTTTGTGAAAAAGAACATATTTTCGAGGTTTGGGACTCCACGTGCTTTGATTAGTGATGAAGGGGAACACTTTTGCAATCGGTTGTTGAATAACCTTATAGCTAAATATAGAGTCCGCCATATAGTTGCGACAGCATATCATCCTCAAACAAGTGGACAAGTTGAGGTGTCTAATAGATAAATAAAGCAAATCTTAGAGAAGACGGTGAGTGTGAATAGAAAAGATTGGGCTACAAAGTTAGATGATGCCTTGTGGGCATATAGAACTGCATACAAAATGCCAATTGGGGCGTCGCCGTATAGGCTAGTTTATGGGAAGGCATGTCACTTGCCTGTTGAAGTTGAACACAAAGCATATTGGGCCATTAAGAAGTTAAATATGGACCTTGAAGCCGCGGGCAAGAAAAGACTTTTGCAGTTGAATGAGTTAGATGAGTTCAGGCTGCACTCTTATGAAAATACTAAGCTTTACAAAGAAAAGACAAAAAGATGGCATGACAAGCATATCAAGCCGCGTCACTTCGAGCCAGGCCAATAGGTATTATTGTTCAATTCTAGACTAAAGCTATTTCCTGGGAAGTTAAAATCGAGATGGTCGGGCTCGTTTGAGGTAGTGAGAGTAACTCCTTATGGTGCAATTGAGCTGCGAGCTTTGAATGGTGAAAGAAAACTTTTGGTGAATGGACACAGAGTAAAGCATTATTGGGGAGGAATAATTGATCGTGAGAAGACCAAGGTTGTACTCGCTGATGAGTAAGCGAGATTCTGAGTCGTGCCGCGATGTTAAATCAGGTGCTTGTTGGGAGGCAACCTAGCTTTACTGCTTTCTTTTGTTTTTTTTTATTATATTATTTTGTAGTGTTTGTTTTGATTTTGTAGGATTATAAGCATAGGAGGCAAAGCCATTGGAAGAGTGCAAAAGCGAGTTAGATGGTGAGAACTAAGTGTGGAGTGCCACACAAAAGATCATGCATGGGGGAAGTCTGAGTACCCGTGAGCCGCTATTGCTTCTGTCTTTGGCCTTTCATAGAGTTTCTTGTCCACCCTCGTTATTGTTTTGCCTTTTTGTGCATTGGGGACACTGCACTCTTTTAAGTGTAGGGAGGGAGACTTCTCTAGATATTAGTAGTGGATGTAGAAAAATGATAATTTGTTTTTTCCCGAAGTTGTGTATTATTTTTAAAAAAAACAAAAAAAGTAGAAAAGTTTGACTTCTCTCGACGATGGATCTCATTCAACATGTCTCTTGAGGGATTTAAGTTGAAAGAAAAAAAAAGATTTTCTTTTGTTAGGTAGTGTAATAATTCCCCCTTGGATTTTCTTTGTGCCACGGTTCTTTTCCAAGGGTTTTATTTGAACCAGGTGTAGGTAGTTTTATTTTTTAGGAGTAGGAGCCACTTTGAGATGAAGTGAATTGGAGCAATATCTCTTGACTTTGTTATGCATTGAGAATAGTGAGTACTTTGGTTGTGACGCTTAGGCTCAGTTTTTGACTCTTGTATAAGTAGCTTAAATCGTATGATCTTAACTTTGCTTAACTACTTTGACTAGAATGTCTTGATGAGTCCAATCCTGAGTGAGTTATGTGCCATGTGTGTGTGAGGTTTGTGTGTAATTATGTGCATTGCATTTGATGTCTAGAACGNCTGTAATCTTGTTTCTTTGGCAACCACATTACAAGCCTTACCCATTTGTTTGAATTAACTATCTATTTGAACCTTTTCACCTCTCATGAGCACTTGAATTGTTAAGAACTTTGTAAAAGTTAAAGTGTGGGGTGGTTGGTTTGGCTTTTGAGTGGAACTAATGAAATAAGGAGAAAGGTGCACTGTTTTGAAAAAAATAAAATAAGAAAAGCCACTTTAATTGAAAAAGAAATAAAAGAAAGAAAAAAAGTTGTATTGTTGTGAAAAATATTCCTTGATAGTGGTAACTCTTGCTGTAATTGTGCTTAAAGAAGTATGGAGTTAATATACATTGATGTGAAGGTAGAGTTATGATTTGACATAAGTGTGGGGTTAAATGTTAAAGTGTATGTATTAAAGTGCTTAGGGAGGTGTAGTCACTCTTATATCCAAATGTATCCTACTCGACCCACAACCTACATTACAACCAATGAAAGTCCTACTTGATCTTAGATTGAATGAGCTCGATTAGTCGAGTATTACACTACGGGCAAGCCTATGGTGCATCTTTTGTAGCATATGAATGTTATTTCTGAGAGTGAGTAAATTCTTTCTAACTTGAGTTCCTGATTGTTCTTAAACTTTTATTGTGTGTGGAACTACTCTCTTTTGTTGTGTGAGGGCACTTGATTCATGAAGGAAAGGTAATGTCATTGACCTCTATGTTAGAGTAAGTGAGTGAATTATGAAATAATGCATGGTACTTGTGAGTCAAATCTTGAGGTGAAGATGTTACACCCTTGTGCTTAGTCTATTTTAAAGATTCTTGGCATAATTAGTTAAGGGAATTGCTTAATAGATTGTGTCTATAAGTGTAGTTTGATTGCTCGAGGACGAGCAATATTTAAGTGTGGGGTATTGATGTGTGGCTATAATTCATGGTTTAGCACATTATTTGCCTTGCATTTTTATACGTTTTAATGATAAAGTACACCTTATTTGCGTGTAATAGGGTCCATTTTATGTGTAGGTGAATTGGAGATGAAAGTAGAAGAAAGAGGAGACCTACAAGTCAAAAGCGTGTGCGGGAGCATTGAATGAGAGAACCTGGCGACGCCAAGCTTGAAGCTGGCTTTAGGCTGGGGTTGCAAGGCAAAGGTCAGGCTGAAGCTGGCATTGCCAGCCCTGAGGCCAGGTCCAATCCGAGTTTTGAAGACTTAATTCGTTTTCAGGTTTGACTAGGACTTGGCCTACACGTTTAGGTCTTTTCCTACACATATAAATAGACCTAAAAATGCCACTTAGAGGGAGTTCTCTGGTGATCGGAGGCAAGAACATCATGTGGACAACTTTTCGAGGAGAAAATCATCGAGTTCTTCATCCGTTTATCTTTTCTTTGTAGTTTGTTTATGCAAAATACTTGAAACATTGTTACTACGATCATGAGTGGCTAAAACCCATAGTTCTGGGTTGTGATTTAGCCATGAATATTATTGTTTTACGTTGACTTAACCTTGATTGCAATTCACTAATATATGTTGTTTCTTCAATTATGTGATTAATTGCTTAATTATCCGGCCAGCAGTTAGCTTCTATTTACTATCTATGCTATGCTTGGGAAAGCTGTGTTTAGATTAGAGAAGAGAGCACGATCTTAACTCTTAGGGGGGCGGATTTGTGGTTAGGATAGGAATATACCTAGTCACGGTGCTTAATTAAATATCGTAATCTTAATGCGTTTTTGATAGATTGATTCCATAGGAATATAGGCGTTAATCTATTTTGAATAGGCGAGTAGTACTTCGGAGAAGGCTATGAGAGCAATAGTTCGATTAACTAGGAACCATGAGTGAATTGTATGAAAGGGAGAGTTAACTAGAACACAATAGGATTGGTGAATCGATCACAACCCTGGAATATTTGTCTCTACTGAATACACCACAATTATTTTGCTACTTGATAATTTAGTTATCAATTAGAATGATAGTTTAGTATAATCACATCCTTGAACTCGATTTTGGTTGACTGAATAACAATCTTGGTAAATTTAGTGGGTAGTTGATACAAGTCTATGTGGGTTCGACACTCTACTTATCACTTTATTACTTGTACGATCATGTATACTTGCGTGTGCGTTTGGGAGCAACACGGGCCCGGCATTGACTTTTGTTGACTTTTTGGTATAAAATTTTAAGTCGATGTTTTATTATCCGAAATTATTTCCGATGAATTTTTAATGAAGTTATACAACTGATTTGAATAGATTTGAGCGTTCCGGAGGTCAATTCAAGCAAGAAGGCGGTTTTGGAATATCGGCATAACTTCTAAAAGGTAAGTGTGTTGCTTAACCTCGAGTGGGGGAATTTTCCCTTAGGCATTGAGTCTTATGTGCAATTTGTGTAATTGAAAACCATGTACGCGAGGTAACGAGTACGTACTTGATTTACATGTTCAAATTTTATTGAGTTAAAGTCTTGAGCATATTGTGTAGTAAATTTGATAATTTTTGGCATATATTTAATCATCTATTTGTCGTGCCTAAATCCTTGTTGTTGAATCTGTTGTTATATGATAATTTGATGTGATTGTTACTTAATTATTTATGAAATTCCGTGAATTTGCTGGTTTGATAATTATTAGAATTTAATTTTATTTTTGATTTTTTCCTCTGCAAATAATTAATTAAATGAGCTTAAGAAGAGGTGTTTATATAATTATTGAAAATTTGGATTTAATGAAGACTTTACTTTATGTTGAGTAATTTCTATCTCTATTGATTGTTTTTGGGTGTTGTACACATTGTGTGGAGCCTTCGTCTATGTTGACGTGATAATTTCCCGTGTAAATTATTGTGTTGTGTTAATTATTATTTTGAAGATATAAGGGTGGCATTTCACCGTTCATATTATGTGGATATAAGGGTGGTATTTTACTGTGGTTGTGTTTGTTGGAATATTGTCTGGGCGGAGCGATAAGGGTGGCAATAGGAGCGATAAGGGTGGCTATTGATATTGTCTGGGCGGAGTGATAAGGGTTGCTATAGGAGTGATAAGGGCGGCAATAGGAGCGATAAGGGTGGCTATTGTGAGGGACGAGATGTGATGATGTGGAGTTGTGGTGTTGGTGATTTTTATGTGACGTTGTGATTTTCTTGTGTTTAGTTTTATACCTTATGTAATTTGTCTTGTTGATGGTAAATTGATAACAATCTGATTTATGTTGAAATTGAGAGCCTGTGGCTATTGCCAGGCGGTTTATAAAATGAAATATGGGCACGAGGTGCCGTGAATTATGATATGAAATGGGGATATTGGCACGTGAATTGTTCGTGTAGTTGTGATATAAAATATGGGCATGAGGTGTTGTGATTAATGATAATAATATTGGCACGTGAACTGTCCGTGCAGCTATGATATGAAAAGTGGGCATGAGGTGCCGTAAAAATATGATGATTTAATTAAGGGCACGAAGTGCCATGGAAATATATGAAAATGGGTTGTGACCCATATTTTTAAGATTATGACCTGAGATATCACTTGGTGACTTCTTAATTGAAAAGATTATATAATCAAAATATTTATTTGGAAGGATTTTTACTTAGAAAGTATTATATGAAAGAATTTTATTTGAAAAGATTTATTGAAAGAATTATATTTGAAAAATAATTATTTTACATAATTATATTTGAAAGAGAGTTATTTAGAAGAATTATATGACAGAAAGACTTTTATTTGAAGGACTTGATTTAATTGGGTGTAATTGTATTTATTATTTGTAGAGTGATATTAATGGTATTCTTGTTGTCTGCTATGCATATCACTGGTTATTGCATATTGCCCTTATTGTTATTTTTTTCCTATTATATTGTATATTATATTGCACAGGCAATTAGACTAGTGAGTGTCTTAACTGTACCTCGTCTCTACTCCACTGAAGTTAGTCTTGATACTTACTGGGTACCGACCGTGGTGTACTCATACTACATTTCTGCACCTTTTTGTGCAAAGTCAGGTATTGGAGATATCGGACTTGAGCAGAGTTAAAGCGGGATCATAAGGATTCAAGGTAGAGCTGCTTGGTCGTGGTGGGATTTGAGTGTCTTAGAGACTAGGTGCCATCACGACGCCTGTAG